CCTCAATGAAACATTCAACATCCATAGACTTTAATACCCGAACATGCATAGCGGATCACCCACACATTGGGATCATGCACACATCACACGGGGACAAAGCAGCAATGGAGAAAAAGCTCGTTTTAAAATACAGAATTCTTACGACTGGCCGCTCCAGACCCAGTCCCCAATCCGTCAAAAGTTCAAAACCACCGACAACCATAGCCACAAGGCCCTGCTGCTGCCGGCATCTGATCTCCACCACCGCTCAATCCCTCCGACTGCCTTACCCCAACCACCGACAACCATAGCCACAAGGCCCTGCTGCTGTCGGGATCTGATCTCCACCACCGCTCAATCCCTCCGACTGCCTTACCCCAAGTCTACCGCTAACTCGTCCACCCGCCGTCACTCTGCCCACCACGGGGCACGTCGAGCCTTTCCGGCGCCGTGGGCTTTGCGCATAGCTTGCGCAGCTTGCAGCCGAGATCAAAGAGAGTGAGAGGAAGGGGTTGCGAGAATTTATATCGGGGAAAGCGGCGGGGGAGGCTGCGCGAAGCACGGGGCGTAGATGAGCAGGACATAGGAAAGGCAGAGGTTCTAGAAGGATAGAAGGAGGCGAGTCGGATGACCTGCGTGATTGGGGTGGTCGACCAAGGGGGGGTGCGCTCTCGCCACCACCACATTGCCCCGACCATCCCAATCAGACAGCCAATCGTCCGCAGGGAAAGGAGAGGGGGGGGGATCGGACTTCACTTAGGGGGAAGACGAAGAGACATGCCGGAAGGAGACGCGCAGCAAGAAAGGAAGATGGTGCAGGGATGCAGAGCGGGAGAACGGGTTTATGTGGCGCGCAAAAATTCAAAATTCCTACTCCCGCTAATTCCCAACTGCTTCTTGAATTTCTTGGCACGGCCGCCGGCCGCTAACCGGCCATGCAAGGCCCGAATTGCATTTTCTACTCCGTCCCTCTATTCGTAAAGGAAAAAGAAATGAAGCCCCGCCTTTCCCTATTATCTTGAATCCGTACTCCGCCGAGTGCGGATCCTGGCTTATCACAGGTAGGACAGAGATGGGTCTTGCTTGGTGCGGTTCCTGCTGGGGGCAGCACCTCAGAAGGTTGGCGATACATCGCCCAGGTGGGCAGGGCCATAATGATGTGGCTCATTTGGACAGATAGGAACAGTCTGAGTTTCCAGGGAGAAAGTCTACATGAGATTCACGCAGAGGCCACATTCCAAGCCATGCTCGCTACCACAATCAGAGCGGACTGGACCCGCAGGGTGGTGCAGAGTGACCGGCACACAGGTCTCGACTGGTTAAGGAAAACCTGGTGTTTGCGGAACATACTCCCCCACATCTCCCCTGCAGGGAAGCCGGTACTGTGTCAATGGATTGAGCAAGGGTAGAATAGTAGACAGTATTTGGAGAGGGAGTTAGAGGGTGTTTTTTCGTCTGCTCTTTTTCTCCTTTTCTTTTCTTTGGGTTTGTTCTGTTCGAGGCCTTGAGTGTGGATCGGTTGTTGAACCAGGTGCACTCGGTTCCGGTCAGCAGTCACGGTAGACCACAAAGGGTTGTTGGGGGCAGGAGAGTGTCGGTTATGCCAGATGGAACAAGGTTCCTCTCGGCCACATTGGGCCGAGCTTCAGACCGTTTCTAGGTCTGTGGATTAGGATATAATAGGCTAGCAGTAGGACAGGTCAGGCTAGGAGGAGAGTTAGTTAGTAGGAGTCACAACCGTAGCAGAGATCCTTGAGTCATTGTTGGTCTTTTGATGAAATTTTGCTTGCTGAGTTGTGTATGCATAAGCTAAACGGGCTGATGCCTCAATTCATTTGTTGATTGGAAATGAAAGGAATGAATAAAAAGAACAAAAAAAAAAGATATTAAACTGATCTGAACAGAAACTACACTTGATCTTAACCAAAAGGCGGCAAGGCCCTAAGGGTCTGATTCCACTCTACTTACAGAAGACGAATCTGTAACGAAAAAGCTGGGGCCGCTCCAGTCGGGCCGTAAAAGAAAATGGGGACCCCACTGGCCCGTTTCGTTCGCAGCTTTCACGTGGGTTTTGGCGGTTTTCGATGGGCGGGTTGATTTTGGGGTTGGAAAACGGTCCACTTACACATACACTACCCGGACCTCCTACGTCGTGCCACACAGTAAACCGAACCACGGACAAACCAGACCACCGAAACGGACACATACAATTTCACGCAAAAAAATAGAAAAGTGCCCCTTCTTTTTCGCTGCAGGATAAGGGCCGAGCTCTCTTGCATTTTCCCTTCAGCTTTTTCGGCGCCGTTCATTCCCTGCCCGCCACAACTACAAATGTTTCCACTCGCCTCTGAAGCTACCGGGTCCTACGAAATCGGAATACTGTGAGATCCGCCAAAACGCAGCTTTTTACTAGCCGTAAGTACTATGGGATCAGACGCTAAATGTACCTCATGAGCTGCTTTACCGGCCACGCCGCCCGGGTCAGGCCGCCCGCCCAAACTGGCTAGGGGGCGCCCAGCGCAATTCGGGCAACATGACTGTGAGAGAGAGAGAAGGGCAGGTGGGGGAAGAGGTATGTCTATTTATGACCCAGCGCCTTCTCCATTTTTGCCGCAGTTTCTTTCCGTTAAGATCTCTAATGAGGAAGCGGGAGAAGAAGCGGAGGGAAGGAATGATTCAGAAGAGGAAGGGAAATGAGGAAGGACAGAAGGTGGACGAGCGTGAGGGAGTGATGGCGGAGGAACAAAGGGTGATTAGATGGAGGGAGGAAGTGATACGGATGACAATGGGAGGCCATGAGGGACGAGAGGAAGAAAGAAAGGAATGATGAGAGGCCAGAGGATGGAGGGAGGAACAGAGGATGGAGGGAGGAACAGATGACGGAGGGAGGAACAGAAGATGGAGGGAGGAACAGATGACGGAGGGGGTCAACGAGGGACAGGACAAAGGAGGGAGTGACTATCCGGTCTCCTTCTTGTTGGGATTTGTTTTTTTGCCGGTTCGCTTACCTTGTTCCTGTCCACATGTGGTCATCCAGATCCAGTTTCCTCCTCCTAAGGCTTGTATTTTGCTGGTTCGTTTATCTTTCTCCTGTCCAGGCTGCTTGATTGATCGACTGATGACTGAGATCGATTGATTAATGGGACAGACTGCTTGATTGATCAATTCACTACTGGGAGGTTGACCGATCACTAATGGTGGTTTAGACTGATTGCCGTGCATGTGCACAAGGTCGTTGCCCTCTTTCAAATTGACGCTTTCTCCTGTCAGTGTGTCATTGTCCTCTTTGACGCTTCGGATCATAGCTCTGCCCGACCTTCGACGTCGTGCACGTGTGTGGCAATCAGTCTAAACCACCGGGTTAGGCCAACATCCCAGTAGTGAATGGAGAGATCAAGCAGTCCGCCCCATTGATAAACCGTCCCAAGAGCAATCAATAGATCAATCAAGCAGCCAATCCCGTTAATCAATAGATCAATCAATCAGTCAATTCCATATCTCAATTGATCCAATCAGTCAATCTATCCCATTTATAAATCTATCAGTCAAGTAGTAGACCTCGTCCATCAATCGATCAATCGAGCGGTGAATCCCATTCATCAATCTATCAATCAAGCATTCGATCCCAATTAACCCATCGACCAATCAGTACGAAGCACAGGGTTCAGCATGTCCATTAACTAGTCAATCCATCTAAATCACAGGGTGCAAGTGAGGACATTTAAGCCACCTGCGCTGGCACGAGCCTGACGGAGTCACCTAATTCAGATCTGAGCACCCCTCATCAACCCTAATCGAAAAATTTGGGGAAAGAAAAACAAACTTGTTACAGCAGATGTCAATAGGTATAGGTGGGTGCAAAAAAGACCACACAAAGCTCTGTTTTCTTAACCCGCCCAGCTGCTCGCGTACCCCCGCGGCCAGTGCCCCCTGCCCGCCCGGCCGGGGGTCGTCTGGCAGGGTGGACCCGGTAACCAAGCTCATACGCCTTTTTTGCAGAAAAGACAAAAAAGTTGCTCATCATAGATAAATTTCTCTGCAAGGAAAGCGAACACACACACACACACACACACACACACACACACACACAGAGGCAGACACTTAGGGCGGGCACATTGGGCCTTTGCAGCGTTGCCGAGGGCTCCCATCCACACAACTCTCTCTCTCTTTAACAGAAAAAAGTAGTGTTTCATTCAAAAGCAGGAACCTCCGGGAAAGAGTCCTGAAGATATTTTTTGGCCGCAGCCTTCTGGTGTCAGACCCAAAAGGTAACTTCCATCGAGAGTGGAACGGGATATAATTGACCACCTCTACACTTACCACTGATAAGTTGTATATACTATATAGTATATACGGGACACATGACTTCAACAGTAATATATATCTTTACTACGACCAATGTCAACCCTGCCTCAGCATCAAAATCTCTCTCTCTCTCTCTCTCTCTCTCTCTCTCTCTCTCTCTCTCTCTCTCTCTCTCTCTCTCTCTCTCTC